TAGTACTAGTACTAGTACTACTATTACTAATACGTCGTTAGTACAGTATCCGTTTATACTGTATCTGTATCTGTACTGTATCCGGCGTTAGTCTGTGGTAGTCTCGATCATTTATTCGTAGAAACGCTCAGAGTGTGAGAGGAATAAAAACAAAAAACGCAGAGGCTACGGGTACGGCAGCCGTATCTTAATGTCTCGAGGATACGGGTACGCCAGTCACACTACGCATGCGCTGCTGCCGTATCTTAATGTCTCGAGGCTACGGGTACGGCAGTCACGCTACGCATTCGCTGCTGCCGTATCTTAATGTCTCGAGGCTACGGGTACGGCAGTCCCACACACAAGTACAAACAGTCACCCTATCCCCAACCCTAACACTAACTATAAACCGACTCGGCTATCTTATATACGCGTGTCATAGTACCAAATTAATCTATGGTGTATAATTCCTTTGGCTTTCAATATTTTGCATCTGAACTGACAATCAATCTCAACCAACTGGTGTAGGCTAGCTGGCACAATAATATTCATTTTCATACTTCAAATCCGAGTGTTTTCTAGCTCATCGAGAAATCATAATCGTGAATTAAATTGTAAATTAATTTCCAACGGCATTATTTTGTGGGAAAGCGACGCATGCGCAAATGGTCTGCCGTACCCGTAGCCTCGAGACATTAAGATACGGTTGCCGTACCTCCAGCCACTGCAAACAAAAAAACAGAGGTACTATTTACGTTAGATAGAATAATGTAATCCAACAACAGTAGGGTTACCTTGTTGGGTTACATTATTGTATCTATATTTACGTGTACTAAATATGACACTGTACTACATGCCAAGGGCGGTACAGCACCATAGCATTAGGGCGCAAATCCAATTTAGGCACCTTGGGTATCACGAAGTGATGCACAGATTTCTGTGTATCATCAACTGATGCACAGAGTTTCTGTATATCAAGGACAAGGAATGATGCAAAAACCCTACCCTAACCCTAAGTCATAAAGTATAACCTTAGGTATCACCAAGTGTGTTAGGGTTAGGGTTAGGGGTTTTGCATCATTCCTTGATATACGGAAAGTCTGTGCATCAGTTGATGATACACAGAAATCTGTGCATCACTTTGTGATACTTAAGGTGCCTAAAGTGGATTTGCACCTTAATGTATAGTATTACTAATACTAGTAGCATATGCAACGTTATCTGAATTCTTTTTCATGCCATACAATCTAGTATAAGTTATGATTTGAAATCTAAAATCCCCCAAAATAATAACGTTTAGAAAAATAATTTTAATTATAAAAGAAATTAGTGGAGTGAATAGCGAGTGATCAACGATATTCATAACTATTAACTATTCAGTTACATGCATTTGCAGTTACAAGAGTTAAAATATAGTACAGAACATTTACAGTGACGTGTATTTAGCAGGATGCAAGGTTCAACGATCACAATGTAAATAAGTAGGCTTGTCATATTTTTTATGCATTTAAGCCTACCCTTGGTAGTTATCTGGCTGTCACATATTTAATTTATATACATATTATTTGTAATGTAGGCATTGATTATTTAAAAAAAAATCAAGTCAAATGAAGGCTGGGCCACACTATTTGTAACCGGGCTTGATAATTTATGACGGTGGGATGAGTGCAATGATGTATACATCTATAGCCTTTCCTTGCAGTTATCATTGGACAATTGAACACACCCCGATAACAGGCTCGGTCCTGTAACGAACACAGAACCCGGTGCTGGTTGGTTTTCTACTTTCTGTGTGCGATGACGTTCTCAACTGGAGATTCCAGCATGGGTGAGATAGAGGGGTGTGTGTAGGTAACACAAGCAGGAGAGAAGGATAAAATGATAGAGAGAGAGAGAGAGAGAGAGAGAGAGAGAGAGAGAGAGAGAGAGAGAGAGAGAGAGAGAGAGCGAGAGAGAAAGAGAGAGAGAAGAGAAAAAGAGAGCGAGAGAAATAGAGAGAAAAGAAAGAGAGACAGAGTGAGCTATCATGAGGTCAAGTAAGGTAGAGAGAGAGAGGGGTAGGGGATGTAGCCAGAGAAAGCATAAAAAGGCCTAGTTATAAGAAGTCTTATGGGAGCTAATCGTTTACATCCGCTTCCACCGTGACGTGGCATGGGCGTAGTGGGCTGCGCATGGCAGCAGGTGCACGCTCCTAACACATTTCCCTCTCGAGTGCAGCTGACATTCTGCCAGCACATAGTTCCCTATAGAACTGTATGAATTAAGTCCATACATTATTGTCTATATGTGTAGGAATAAGTATTGGTTTGACACTCAAACACAAGTAAAATGTAATTGGCATCACAGACATGTTGTTCTTGACATATGTTTTGTGAGTCATAGTGGTGGTTTAGTGTTTGTCCAAACATGGAAGGGAACCTACAGTTCTTCCATAACTGTACAAAACTTCCATAATAATACGTGCACTGTTGGTTATTTATATATATAATTCAGGCAGGGGGGGGGGGCACTCTAAAATTTTGTTTGCATTGAACTCTATGCAAATTTACGGGGGCTCTTTTTGGCATTTCCGGGGCTCTTTTTGGCATTTCGGGGGCTAAATCGCCCCGAGCCCCTGTGTATTTTTTCCACTGAATTTAGGGTTTCTTATACATAAGAGACACAGCGGCGCAGCCTGTATTTACTGATAAGTATATCCTGTATCTATATACCTATAAGTATATCAATACATCCTGTATTTGAATCCATCATGCAAATTTTTTTACCAAACTGGCCATTACCTCCTTTGTCTAATTTTCTCTCAGAAGAAACCGTGTAATTGGTAGATTGATTTAAAAAATGTTGTGGTGTAATATCTTGTTGCAGATCATTAACTTATGTACATCGCAAGTGGAATTCAAGTTTGTCCGTACGTGTACTTGACTCCTGTTTACATTAAAGGCTCACAATGTGCATCCAAACGCTAATTTCTACAGTACTAGACTAGCAAATACTTCGTGGCATGAATAATCACACTACCTTATGACAAAATAAACTCTAGCTCCTCCAATTTCACTGTGCGTTGTCTTATAAAAGGTATTTTGAAAATACCTCCAATGTTGTTGAAATTCTCCGATGTTGTTGACAGTTTCCCCAATCTCCAAGCAACCGTGCAGCGGTGGCGCGGTACAGCGGTACGGGCGCAGCAAAGATAAAAACATGTGACGTCACCAAACCAAGTCGATGTTATGTTGTTTGAAACAAGTTAGCGTTGGCGCCTGATTACCTGATTTCGCACCTCTTTCTTGTTGGGAACGCGCAGTCAAATGGGAGGAACTAGAGTTTATTTTGTCATAAGGTAGTGTGATTATGCATGCCACAAAGTAGTTGCTAGTCTAGTACTGGAGAAATTTCAGCGTTTGGATGCGCATTGTGAGGCTTTAAATACAAAAAATTTGCCTTTCAGGCCAGCAGGTAGCGCTGAAGTACGCCAGTCTCGTGCTGCTGGTGATGCAGAACGCTGTGCTGATTCTGATCTTGCGCTACGCCCGCACGCAGCCCGGTGACATGTACCTCGCTACGTCTGCCGTCGTCGTGTGCGAGGTACGCAGCTCACAACATGCAGTGTCAACAACACGAACACGAGCAGTTATTCACGGTTCCCGATCACATGTCGTCATGGTGTTTGGCGCTTTAAATAAAATCTGCATCGGTAGAGAGAACGGCGACGAGTAATGGTTAATCTGTAGCGGTTAAAAGATTGCCGTTGTACCACGAACCAAAAAGTGCAAGTACGAGAACCTAGCGTAATAGAGGGTTGTAGCTACCTCAATTTGCATAGGGATGGGCAAAGCCACACACAGCTAGTTTTGGGGAGTTGACCATGGGCAATTTGCCATTGGCTGTTGACTGTGTAATAGTATCTACATCGGTATAGTATGGCCATTAAAAATAAGGAGTTGAAATAATGAATAAATAATATAACAAAAAGGAAAATTGTAAATACAGTAAGTGCCCCCATGCACCCCCGATTTCCACTAGTTACAGCCCTGTAACAAAATCGGGAGTGAATAATGTGAAGATTCTCTGTTTCCGATTCGTACTTCCCGATAACGTGACGATAACGCGGGTGTGTTGTCGTCGTCGTCGCTGCAGGTGTTGAAGCTCGCCGCGTGCCTCGCGATTCTGCTCGTGCAGCAGCGCGGCGTGCGGCCGTGGCTGCGCCTGCTGCACACGCACGTCGTCGCCGACCCCGTCGACACGGTCAAGGTCGCCGTGCCGTCCTTCATCTACACGCTGCAGAACAACCTGCTCTACGTCGCCATCAGCAATCTCGACGCGGCCACCTACCAGGTGAGGGCGCCACCGTGTGCGCGGCGCGGCGCGCAGGGGGCATGAGAGTGCGCTGTCATCTGGCTAGTGCAGTGTATGCAGCGAATAGGACTTCAATAGGGGGGAAGAAATACAGAAAGAGGGTGCTGTGCTCTAGTTAGTAATGTGTACAGGGCAATTAGTGAAAACAATTAGTGAAAACAATTAGTGAAAACGACTCCCGGCCGGGTCATACCAGACTTGAAAAATGGTACACATTGCTTCTCTGCTTAGCACTTATCAAAAAAGAGATAGAGGCACTCGGTGTGGAAACGGTGTCAAGAAGAGAGCCTAGCACGCGGCGGCACCTGCCAGTGAAAACTGTGAATCTCTTCAAACCCGCCCAGTGGGCACACGACAAAAAAAAAAGTGAAAAAAGATTATAGGAGAGGATGCTGTGCTTTAAATAGTGATGTGTATCATATGGAGCAAGTTGGAAAAAAATACTAAGAGATGGCGCTACGTTCTAGGGCTGTGTACTGGGCAAGTGGCGTAAAATTGCCAAGCAAGGGCATTGCTTTAGCTAGTGATGTGTATGGGGCAAGTAGGGAAAAATTATTTGCTGGATAGGGTGCTGTGCTCTAACCAGCGTAATGTACTAGGAGTAGACGGCTGCGAGCTGTGGGCTCTGTGCTCTGGCTAGTGCTACGTATGGGGGGGGGGGAGTGCATAAGAATTCTGATTGATGGCAGATGTTGTTATGTCCACCAGGTGTCGTACCAGCTGAAGATTTTGACGACGGCTCTCTGCTCGGTGTTCATGCTCAAGAGGTCGCTGTCCGGCGTGCAATGGCTTGCACTCGTCATTCTGTTCATAGGTAATGCACCCAGTAGTCGCATGCACGCGCACGCGCACGCACGAACACAAGCACGTGCATACCGCATGCACATACATGCACCTGCGCATGCGCACACAAATGCACGCATGCACGCACTGTTCTTATGTGACTCGTAAACGTAAACCATTTTATCTTACCATATTAAACGACGTTCTCCATCCCGGGACAGGTTTTTGACTGAATGTTACGACTAAAACGCTTCTGGCAATGCCCTGCCCCCTCCCCCTCACCCGCCTGCCACCTTCAGTGTGCAGCTCTCTTTAATAGAGTTCCTGTTGCATTTCAGGTGTGTCGATTGTGCAGCTGGAACAGCAGGGAGCGACGACGACGGGCGTCAACCAGCGCCCCCTTGTGGGCCTCCTCGCCGTCGTCGCCGCGTGCGCGACGTCGGGATTCGCCGGCGTCTACTTTGAGAAGATCCTGAAGGGCAGCGACGTCTCCATCTGGGTGCGCAACGTGCAGCTGTGCGTGTTCTCGATCCCGATCGGCGTCGTGGTGATGCTGATGACGGACGGCGCGGAGGTGCGCGCGCGCGGCCCGCTGCACGGCTTCGGCGTCGTCGTCTGGGTCTCCGTCGCGATCCAGGCGTTCGGCGGGCTCCTCGTCGCCGTCGTCGTCAAGTACGCCGACAACATCCTCAAGGGCTTCGCAACGACCGTCTCGATTGTCATCTCGTGCGTCGCGTCCGTCTACCTGTTCGACTTCGTCGTCACGGCGACGTTCGCTGTCGGCGCCGTGCTCGTCGTGGCGTCCATCTTTCTGTACAACAGGACGCCGGGGGCGGCGGCGGCGGTGCCGAAGCTGGAGATGTCGCCGGTGCCCGGAAGCACGAGCGGCGGGTCGCCAGCAAAGATGTGATTCGCGTGCCGAATGCACGCGCGAAAATTCACGAGACTTTTCGCGCGAGTCTGTTCTATTGACCCATCCGCCAAATGTGATTGACAGGTAGATCTAGGCAATCACTTTTGCGATTAGGAGCGTTTTTAAAATGCCGTTCGTGACAGTGCCGGGAAGTCGACAATGTGGTCGGGTGAAATGCATGCATAAGCCTTACCTGACATACTTAGCAATGATGTGCAAGAGTGGCATCGTCACCTCGCTCAAATGGATGAGTTAATATCAGCCTTAACTATAGGTGACGTGAGGGAGGGGTAGGACTGTGAAACCTTGCATGCTAGCGAGTAATGCTGCGAAGGTTAGCGCATTCTCGTTTTAATCATGTTTTAAAAATCGGTGCAAGCGTGTGTCGGGTGAACTGTTGCGGATGCTGTGATGGTAAACCATCTTCAGCGACCACGTAATAGGTTGACCTTGCACATGCTCGCTCATTGTATAACGATGCTGCGATGAACACATAAAGAAACGGGTTAAATAACTATGCAACTAACAGTTAATAGTTTTAATATAAACGTAACAGATCATGTTTACAACATCATGTTTGCAACATCATGTTTGCGGCACAGTCTAATGGCTCGGTGATCATCCGTTAATTAATTTCACGCGGACTTGATGCTAGTCAATGGTGTAAATGTACGGATCAAACCTGCGACACCTTCAACCTCAACTGGATAAGTTATGGTTAGTATGTACCTGTTAAATGTATCAAGTATCAGTGTTTATTGTGGGCGAAATTGCAATCAAAGGTCCCTGACATGCTAGCACAGCCAGGCTGTTCTTAATATGCATTTTAGCGAATAGGTGTTTTGAGGAGGGCAGAATGTGATATATTATGTATGTTATAATACACAGACCTGGAGATGCACAGTGTCTATTTATATAAGTGTGTGGTTATTGATCAATCACAAGCAGGGTTCTAAGGTGCCTATGTGTTTCTGTCATGGTAATTTTTTCCCATTGACTACAATTGAAAATCTGAGACTGGGAACATTATATATGGCACAAGAGAATCGAGTGTTTCTGTGGAACTTTTGCACAGTTTTGTGTTATGGAGCATAGCATTCTAATATTATGCTGTTAATGTTATTACAGATACCTATCGTGAATGTATACATATATCTATGTATAACATACATTATATATATATATAATAAAATTTATATTATAACGAATGCACGTTTATATAAATTTCCTAGTGTATTTTTAATACACCAACTCGCCAAGATATCTATGAATCTAAAAATGAATTTCATACACACGAGTGCTAATATTTGCATTTTGCGAATGATATTCTTTTAGATCGCATGGAGAAATCTATCGCATATACTTGGGGTCAACTTCTTTTCCATTTGATCTTTATCCTACAGAGGCCCCACGCCTAAAATCAGAGATTTTAAATGCAGTTGGCGTTCCTCCTAGTCGCGCGGCGTGTGATTTGCACTATGCATGAGTGGGACAGTTTCGGCCCAATTTCAACCGCACTACTTTCCTTCTTGCTCAGCGTACGAGTAGATCTTCGTCCCACCTACGTCCTTGTCTGCGCACTCCCGCCGTTGATTGTAGTAGTAGAAGTTTCCGTCCTTGCGCTGCAGCTTCTTGACAAAGCCATTTTCCGGCCACCTCTCAACCTGCATACATGGCGTACAAGGTAGAAGTTAAGAGGTTACGTAGTAGGCCATCTCTGAACCTGCGTACGCGATGTAGGGTGTTGAATGTAGAATGTAACTTAGGTAAGACTAAGAGGTTACACAGTGTGCAAGTGTGCAGCAGCAGTGAATATGACTAGGAATTGCTCAAGCTGAAACCTCTGCACAATCCTAGTAGTAGTTTGGTATACCGGCCGCGAAATTCGGAAAAAAAATTCGGAAAAAAAATTTCGCATCCCGGCCCTCATTTTCTCCAAATGACGTGCTAAACTAATCCGTGGTGCTACAGTGATGGATACCTACGGAGTCGGGTCCTTTACATGCCGCATACTCCCTCTCGTCTCTGTACCCAGCTAGTTGAAATCTGTAAGCATCTTCGACCTGTGAATGGGCGCCCATACAAAGTTATTTTCCTAGTACCCCCTAATAAGGTTTTAGGGTGTCCAGTGAAGTTTTGTTAGTAATATTATTAGTACTTAGTACTACTTGTAGTACTAAAGTGGAACATAACAACACTGTCAGGACAGTAAATTATCCCGACCAGGTTGCGAGACTAAGGGCGTGTTTGTTTGGTCAGATCCACGGATCTCGATCCACTGGATCGAACCCTAACCCAAACAAACGCAAACTCACTTTCAACGGTTCGCGTTGTCCCGTAGAATTTGGACGCTCGCCCGAAACTGGACGCTCCAAAGTGCGCATGCGCCGAGCCGTAGGCATGCTCTTTTGTTTTTCTCTTGTTTTCTTTTTGTTTGAATATTGTTTTGCAGGGCTGTAGGAAATAGTAGCCATGCTCTTTTGTTTTCTTTTTGTTTTGCCTTGTAACCTAGCTGACACACATAACACAGTCTTACTAACTTGCTACATATTGCAAATTGTTTCAATCAAATGTTTCCATCAGTGACCGGGTTGTCCGCCATGTTTGTTTATTGCAACCGTTTCGATGGGCGAGATGCGCAGATGACTACTGCGCATGCGCCCTTGCAAAACAAGAGGTGCCTGCGCGCATGCGCACTTAGGAGCATCCAGTTTCGGGCGAGCGTCCAAACTCTACGGTACAGCGTTTTGCTGTGACCTATTACGGGATAGTTCATAACAAAGAACAAGCTGTGACTGGCTGAGGTGCGGACCGCCATATTGGATCCCCTTCAAATCCACCATCGCTAGCAGGGTCGGGTTCGGTGGATCGAGATCCGTGGATCCGACCAAACAAACAGTCAGATCCACGGATCCAGTGGATCGAGATCCGTGGATCCGACCAAACAAACACGCCCCAAGTACCTAACAACATTCGCCAATACAGACGCCTTTCGAAATATTTACGGTAACCGTTTCTATGACTACCGGGTATGTCCTATTTCTTCTTTGTCCTACTCCTACTCCTCCTACTCCTACTCCTAGATCTAACCGCAGCTAACGTACAAAAATAACATTATTATTAATATTATAATACTAGGACTAATTGAAATAAATATTTCATAATTTAATTAATTAATTATTATATTTATAATATAGTATAGAGTATAATTTATAAACGTTATTATCAATGACAATATGAATATTGAATATCATGTCTATGTCACTATGACAGTCATAATGACGGAACTGGGCACCTCTGAACTCCATTGCTTTGGTCTCTGTATTCCTGTTGGCTTATAAGACTGCGCGGGCCTAACTGCCTGCTGCAGCTCTGGAGCAGATGTTGAGGCTGCCATATATATATATGTCAAACAAAATAAGACTGTCAAAGCTTTGAGTGCCCCGAGTTCAACACAACTGAGGAACACAACACTAAAATACACAAACATTTGTTTAACCGTTCCTTAGTAACGCCATTACGGCGCCACCTACAGTTTATTTGCAGCAAATGTTACTGTGATACATGAAAATCGCCTAACCTCATAATGTTTAGTCTTCAAGGGACCAGTGGATTATATCGGAGACGAAGAGCGACAAACTTAATCAAATAGACAGATAAATACAGTGGATTGTAGTAAAAATATATACAATAATGCAAAAATAATGTTAAAAAGGACATTGTCACTTTTCGCGTGCATTTCATCTCGTTTGATCATGTACCTGAAAACAGTTCCATATTTGTACCGTTTGGAACTCTGAGAACAATATAATATATATATATATATATACAGTACATTATACATATATATATTTGTGTGTGTGTACATGCGTGCGTGCGTGCTCGTGCGCGTTCGATCGTGCGTGCGTGCGCGCGCGCGCGCGCGCGTGTGTGT